TACTTAGGCCTCCAACTTCTTAGCTTTACGGTAAACGGATGGGCAATTCTATAAGTAAAATATTCTGCTTAGGTTTGGAAACTAAAATATTGCAATGCAAATTTTCTTAGATAACATAAAATGTTTGTGTTTAAAAAAGTCTTGCTTCAAGCATAACTAGAAGACAAGTGGGATGGAACAGGCAAAAAAGGCATGTTAAAGCAGTTGTGTGATGTTTCAGTCTTGAAATGCTTCCTGGATGCTCCAGAAAGCAGAAAAATCAAGGTGTCTTTCACTTGGAGTCTAGTAGCAAAATTGATCTGGGTCTGGAATTAGTGCTGCTGGGATAATTAGCACTTTAGCTGGCTGAAGCAGAGGCATTTTAAAGGACTAACTTATCTGAAGTGGAATTTTGACTTCAGCTAATCCTCTTCTGCTGGTATCTGGCAAGCAAGTCCTTATGGGATGGTTGGTAAAATGGGTTCTGAATTTGTGTTCGGTCATGTCTTTAAGTGAAGAGTAGGAAATAATCTGAAGGGGAAAAGGGACCTACTTGTTATTGGGTAGCAGTAATAACATGGGTAATTACTGAGTAGGCAAATTACGTGAGTTGGTGTTGTCAGGAAACCTTTCACATCCCTCTTATGAGGAAGTCATTTGAAATCTTGTGATCTTTCCTTCTTTATGCAAGATGGAACTTCCAGAAACATAAGAAATTGTTAGAAGTGTTTAAAACAAATGTAGATTTTTCTTCCTAGTGAGATGAACTGTTGATGGAACATTTTGTCCTGCAGTATGCAGGGGAGGAAGAGTGGGCTGGAAAGGATTCTGACTGTTGCCTTCTTTTAGAGCCAGGGAGAGATTTTTGAATTGGCTTCGTATTCTTCATCAGAGTTTTTCATCTTTCTGAAAGGAGGTTAAGTTGGATTACGTCCTCCTGTCCTTTAGTTGATGGGGGGTTTCCATCTTTTGGGTAGTCTTCCCCCCAAAAAGACACGAGTAACATCACTAAAAAGGTACTGAATTTGTGACATGAGTTTATTTCTGTCTCTGTCTTTTGGCAGAAATTTTAAGTGTTACTGCTTGTAATGGTAAGAAGTAACCTCATTTCTTTAGTAGTACTATTCAGATGGAACAGTAAATGTAAACTTTCTTCAGATTTCAGAATGTGTCATAGAATAAAACTTTAAGTCAGAAATAATGGTGATACTTATTCCCTCAGAGCCCCTTCTCAACCTGGGAAAAGTGTTAGCTTTGGCTTGCTGTTGCATTTGAAGGCTTTCCTATATATTCCACTTAGGTTGTTATTTTAGATTAGCTTTTAACCTGTCTCGTAGCAACTAAAATAACTTCCTCAACACACACATACTTAATGGGATCTCCATAAGATGAGGTCTCTCCCAGAACACAGGGAGAGACTAAGGTCATTGTTGTTTAGCAGGTTAATCTTGGATATCTTAGTTTACTCACCTTTTTTAACCTAGTTGAGCTCCATAATGGATGATATGATGAAAGATAGTTCAGGAGAGTCCAGCTCTTCTTTTTTAAAGATATGTTATTACCTCAAGATATAGGGAGTCTTGCTGTTTGAGCTTGTGTGCCTGGCTCAGCTGCTAACAACTGCAGAGTCTTGGTAACAGCAAAGATGTGTATCCCTTGGGAGCTCTTACGGGTTGTAGAGGAAGCAGGGCTGGAGTTGGTTGCCTTTAACCAATTCTGAGAACGTGGTGGAACAAAGTATGCAAAGCAGAAAGCTTGCCATCTGTATGGCTGCTTTACATACAAACTGCGGTAGTGGATCTTGAAACAACAAGGAGAAAATGAAGCTACTGTGAAGAATATTTGCTTGTATGAAATTTGCAGTTAGGTGCTGTCAAGGGCCAAAAGCTTGTGAGATTTCACAATATGTTAATATATTAGTGAGGTTTTAAAATAACAGCCTTGCAAAACTAGAGTGACTGTTAATCTCTTACATCCTAACAGTCAATGTTAATCACCAAAGATGAGAAGCAATTCCATGGAGAGTAAAAATGAGTGTATTGGAGTGACCTAAGCTTTCCTTCTTTGGGGGTAATGCGCTGGGGCTGCAGGGAGGAGACCCCAAACCCCTGGGAGTTTGTAGCAGTGTGACTAGGTGAAGGAGCATGAGCTGAAAAGGGATAATAGAAACAAAAAGCTTCAATCTCGCTTTGGAATGGAAGATCTAATTCCTAATTGTAGGAGAATCTGCTTGGCTTGGTGTGAGGGATGCTCGTGTCAAAGTTTTCTTGTGTGGTTTTCTTCTTTTTGAAGCTATAGTTGGACAGGGACTTTGGTCAGCAGCTCCAGGCTCCCAGTGTGTGCCTGCATAAGCTTTTGTGCTCATGGCAAACCAGACTAGGGAGCCGATCCAGCTGGAAAGCAACCTTCACAAAAGACAAAAGGAAGTGTTATTTTTCCAACTAGAAAAATTCCTTGATCTAACTCTGTGTGTAGTAGCACAAACACTTGTGCTGGCATAGTGCAATGGACAGCAAACAGGCAGAGAAGGAAACAGCCACATGTGTTGGCAGTTGAGCATGGCAGAGTCATGGCAGCTGAGACATATCAAACTGCAACCTAAAATAACTTTCATTTATCCGAATCTGGTTATAATATTTGAATCTGTTTTCTTTTAAACATCATTCATTATGCCATTATTAGCAGGAGATGTGGCCCAGTAGGAACAGATTTGTAGAGAGGAACAGCACTGATGCCTGCAGCGTGTGCACGTTGTGATCATGAGGACTTGCTTCAGAGCAGTGTGAGCTGAGAGCAGTATGCTGGACACCTAATGGTGGCTGGAGAGCACATCCTGGTTTTGTTCCAGGGCAGATTCCTTTTGGATGAGGCTGGTCCATGATATAAACTAAAGCACATTAAGGATGGATGAGGAAGAAGTTAATGTCCAAAGCATGCTTGTGATCTGAGCTAAAGCTCCTACTTTAGACTTAGTGCCTGTATAGAAAAATAATATTTCCTCATTGGATAAGCAGTAGCAAGCTGGTAGAGAGGCTTGTCTAGGCAACATGGCATTTTCATTCTTGTAGTACAGGCTCTGACCCATGGAACCCTTAAATATATACATTCAAAGAAATCCTTTCTTGATAGGGGATGTTTTGCATTAGAAACAAGAAAGAGCCTTTACCCTCTCATACAACTGAATGCTTCATTAAGACTAATATCCTTGTCTTTTCTGATCTTATTCTTATTTGTATGACCCAGACTTAAATTTTTTCGGTGATACTAGGCAAAATATAACTCTATTAAAATATAGTCTGTTCACAGATCTAAGTCTTCCCCTCCTTTGTAGTTTTATTGGATTTGCTTATTTTCTTTCTTTGTCAAGTAACAATCAAATTCTTGTATCCCTCCTATGCAGAAAAGGAAGTAAAGAAACAACTGAAAAGAGCAGTAGTGATGATAGCAGTCTCAGTCACAGAAATCTTAAACCATAAAACAAAAGTCTCTACCAAGTTAGTTACTCAGTTTCAGTATATTTTCAGTTCAGTGCCATCAGTGTATGCAATACCTGCCTGTTTCTATTTAAGATAAGTAAGGTTACCTAAACATTTGGAGACTTCATAAGGTAGATGACCATTTGTGAGCTTCTTGTCTTGTAGCAATGAACTTATACACCAGGCTGAGGACCGAAGTGGGCACAAGTTATGATTGTTTGCTCCAGGGCTATTAGAGACTGTTATGTAAAAGGCATCTCTGAAGGTGAAATGGTATAGGGTTAGCATATGAAATCATATTTCAGGATGTACTTGGAAGCAACAGGTTTAAAAGATAATCTGCCATTGTCATTAATACTATTAGTATCTTATTTTCAGATGGGTTTAACTCGGATCATGGATCCAAGTGAGTTTTTGTTGCTACAGTTGATTTAGTAGCAGTGGGTAAAAAGCAGTATTTTACAGCTTTCATTTTGTTCATTATTCTTTGCTTTTTCTCTCTTACTGTAGGCTTTAAATCCTATCCCATGAGAACAAACTCTTGCTAGCATTAGAGATCTTTTATGAAAGATCTCATTGTTTTGTTTGACCTCAGGTGTATCTGGATATGTCAAAACACTTTTTATTCTATAAAGGCAGTCCCTGATCAAACTTGACCGATATAAGTTATAAACTAAAATAGCTAATTCTCACCACTAGTCAGCATGAGCAGAAAACAAAGTCTAGGAACCAGTGTATTTTCGAAGGTGATGTGAAGAAATTGCCACTAATACTAATGCAGTTTTGGCTCTGAAAAATGGCCATTTGTTTTTGAAAACTGAGACTGATTTGGAATGTAGGGGTGGGGAAGAAAAGTTGCTGTATTAAAAGTAAGCAGCTGATACTATGTGGGGTTTTGTATGTGTGGTGGGACGTGTTTCTGTTTTTAGCAGGCAATAAGGTTGAATACTGTAATGGTTACCTAGTGCTGAGGGCACAAAGGGAGAAAAATCTATATAAAGAATTTTTAGAACAGAAAGAAGCAGCTAGTCAACTTAGTCGGTTTGATTTAAATGGCTGCTCCTGGAGTAAGGATATTTAGGCCTTTGTCAATGATGTTTCTGTATGTCTGTTAATGTGTCCTGCTTCAAGGTTCTAGATGGGATGTTTGCTAACAGGTAGTAATTATATTCCATGTGTGTGGTGGTGTTTTTTTTTTTTTTTTTTTTTTTTTTAAGTAAGTTATAAGTAGTTAAAGACTAGGAGAGTGGGTATAGCTACATACTATTCTTCTGAGAAAGATGTAATGACAAAACAAAAGGGTAGCTAATTTTTTTTTTTTTAGTTTTTTTAAATGAGGGGAACACTTGCTGCTTTGTCGTGGATAAAGTTCCTAGGTAGAATCAGCCTAATTATAGGAAATCTTTACTGTGTGAATGTGATTCTCACTGCTTTTTAAAAAGTTGGGACCAAGGAAATGGGTATGCAAGAGTGGACCAGTTATTACAGCACTGCAATTGTCATTGTGTGTATACAAGAATGTTTCTGACTTTCTTTTTCTGCCCTAATTTTACAGAAAAGCAGACATGATACATTGACCACATTTGGAAATAAACTTTGGCAATAAGATGGAAGCATAAATCTTGAAACCAAAACAGCAATGGCTCAAGAGTATTGAAAGAAGACACCGAAGAGCCTCCAACACTTCAGTGTGAGCAGTGGAAAAGGAACAACTACCATGGTAACACTAATAACAGAAAAGCTGCAGAACCAGAGCTTGGATGATCTGACATGTAAAACATACAATATTAATCTGGTAAGGATGTGCCAAAATAACATATGAATGTGAAATGCAAAATGGTTTAAGAACTCAGAAATACACACCAAATCCAAGAATGTAGATGAGCCAGAATTAAGCCATTGAAACTAGGATGAATTTTGCAAGGTGGGTGAGGGCTTCTGAAGGGAAAAATGGAACTTCAGTGGGTGGTCCTGCTATCTGTGGTGATTCTTTCATATCCTAATCATTTTAAAATGTACAGAGCTTCACTTTAAGTAGTGGAAAGCCTGTTCTCTTCATGGGAGGTAGTTCATTTTGATCCCAAATATTTTGTTGAAACTTCTCAGGGTTCCTGATTCCTTACAAAAAGATAAACTAGTAATAGGGGAAATTTCTTCACTTAGTCATCAAGCAGTTAGCCTGCATGACAACAATATTTACTAAAAGAGTGATTGTAATGTAGGCAATTTTCGGCAATGTACAAAACCAGCACAGATCTTCTGTTAAATGTTAGCTGAACTGTAAGTCAGATATCTCATTACCAATGTGTTCACACCCGTAGGTCCTTGCTCATCAGTGTGAGTAGGCTGGTGCTTTGAATAGTTTTGTAATATTTACTGTTTCCTGCTGGTTTCATCTGTGGTTGTGACCCAATTCACACGTGCTATTTAGACCCTAACTGTGGAATCTATTTTTCTTTTCCTATTGCGCAGCTCTTCACACCTCACTTGTGAAGTGAGCAATATTAATTCTGCTTCAGAGTGAGCAAAGACACAAGAGTCTCCTTAATTTTAACCACCCATTTTGAGAAGCCTCAGCATGTATTTCTTTGTGTGCTAGCCTAATAATTTAATTTCGTTGACTTCAATTGGAGTTGTAACTGAAAGTACTTAATCTGCAAATTAAACTCAAGGGTGTCAGTGAAACAAAGTCCTGTAGGACCATGCGGTCAATCATCTTATGAACTGATCCAAGATTGAGACCAACCTCTCATTCCTGAGTTAATGTTAACCCTTATCAGTTTCAGGTTCCCTTTCACAGTGCAGTTGCACAAGTGCTTGTCTTGGCACATGCAGATAAAATAGTTGGGGAGAAGGAAGGAAAGTGATAATGTTTATGCTTATTTGGAGCCTACCTTGAGACCAAGTCTAGACTGGTGCACTGGAGTGTAGGAGCCCACTCAAATTCTTTCAAACATTCAGTTGTGCTTTCAAAAACCTTTTAGTATTCCCAGAGGACTTCAGATTTTCTTAATCATAAACAGAAACGCTGGAGAGAAGTTGTTCTCTCCAGAACTTGTCCTGCCAGAAGTTGCTTAAGGAAAAGAATATCTTTCTGACTTCTAAGTTTGATTACTCTCCTGTGAAAATGCCAATTCAAGTCAGTCAATTTGGTCAACATGAAAATGTCCTTGATGAAGTCAAGCCCCTCTAGCTGTGTGGCACAAGCATTCCGGAAAGACCTTTCACTTGAACTCATCAGTTAGTCTTCTTGCCACAGATCTCTCTGAAGAGTAATTTTTGCTGTTTATTTTTCTCTCTTGATGGAATTGATGGAAAAATTACTTAATTGGGGGAAATTTCTAAGCGATTGCTAGTCTCTGCAGATAGCTGATCTAAAGTCAATCATAGCTTGGACTGATACGCCTTAGTGAATGTAATTTGGAGGGGGGAGGGAAGCAATACTGAAAACAACTGTGCTTGGCATTTAGCATCTGTTTTTTACATGAGAACTGTTTTTCCTTCTGTGGAAGTTTGGAGCATGTGTTGGAGTGAAAAAGCATGATTGTTTGGGTAGGGTTCTGATTAGCTGTGACCAGGTAGACTTCTCGGGCTCTAAAGTGTTTTTTCCCCTCTTCCTGTATGTTTTTGTGCTGAGACGGATACTGGTATAGATTAGTCTGTATTATGAGTCAAATCTTGAAGAGATCAAAGAATTCTCTTCTAATTGTGCACTATTTTTATTAGTTCATACTGAGAACGTAAGAGCTTGCTTGCTTTTCCCATATATTTGCCTATCTGAAGAACAAATCTGTTTGCATTCAGCTGGCAGGGCAAAGAGAATGTAACCTAGCTCATAAATGAGGGTTATAAAAAGATATATTAGCTCTTCAAGGCCATTTACCTACCACAAAGCCCTTATTTTTTTTTATATACATAAACTTATATGTAGTGCTGTATCCTCTATACATATAGTCTTTCATTTCTATGTTGACCAGGTATGTTTCTTTGCCTATTGCATGAGTATATTTCAAAATCCTGGATATAGTTTCTCGTACTGCTATGCTCCATGTTAATTTTTATAACCAGTGTACAGCATGTCCCCAGTGTGTGCTCAGTGATGTTGCATGATCTTGCACTGCATCCAGCTTAGGAAAAAGCAACCAAACAATTGGGATCCTTCCCATAAAAGTAGGAGCCTTTACAATACAGTGTCTCAGCTTTTGTCTAGGTTAAACGCTTGGTCTTTGTTTGCTTGAGTAAGATTCAGTAGGTCTGTGTTCAAGTCTTCCCTTTATATTCTGGCTAAGGTTGTGGTGTGTTGTGGAAGCTGGAATTACTCTGTGAAGTAAAAGGGAACAAGATACAAGACCTAAAGCTGTGGTATTAAAAGGGAAATGTGAGCATCTGTGGAAGGAAGAAGCTCTTATCCTCTGGGTGTAACTTTTTATTTCGCTGGTTTGTGTTGAAAAGTTTAAGAATTGAGGTGGCATCTGAGTGAATAATTTGTCTAGATGAAACTTGCATCTCTGTCTCAAAGGTCATTTCACAAAATCTGATTCCTTTTGAGCGTAATTTCTCCAAATGCAGAAAAGATCTTACTTCTGAAGGAGCACAAATATAGAACTCCTTTCTTGCCTAAACAAACTAATTCCAACCTTACATGGAACTTGTGGTTTCATAGTGTAGTGTCTCCAACTATTTTAGAACCTGCTTTTTTTCTAGAAACTTTTATATAAGAGGTCTAGATCTAAATCTATTCATAATGCATTAGCTGGTAGAAGCTACTGTGTGGAACTTTCCTTCACACAGAGGGGAACAGACTTCCCCATTAAGGTTCTTAGCAATTGCTTTGTGACCTCTCATACTTGAGAAAAGATGAGCAAACTTAAAAAGACAGGTCCTTAATTCAGGAAGCCTCAGGTAGACCTTGATGCAGCAGGGAATGAATGGGGCAGGTGGTGTCTAGCCAGTGCAGGACAGCTGATAAGCTGAGTTACAGTTATTCCCTTTACAGGAATATTCAGCAGCCCATATGAGGCCTCTGCTGTGTTCTGTATAAAGATAAGCCCTCAAACAATTTATAACTTAATAGATCCTGTTCAACTCTGGACTTTGAGATATTGTTAGAATACACTATCCCATAATGTTTCCAAGTGCTTTTAGTTTCAGTTTTGAAAAGCTGAATAGATACAATGCATGGATTCTTCCCTTATTTTCTGCAAGCTCTTACTGGAAATGATACACCTTTCTCTCCTTCTAAATGCAGACTCGATTACCGAGGCCAAAAGCCTTGGTAATCTCCAAAAAATTATTAGCATTTGTTTTAATTTAACATGATTCTCTACAGCATTTGCTTATGAGAACCAATTGTTTTTCTACTTGTTTTACAAATTTTTCTGACTACTTTTTTCACAGTGCTGGCTCCCTTAGAAGCCGGACTAATGTGGCCTGTGGACAGGAGGGTGAACATGGAAGTTGTTGTGTGCAGTACTGATCAGACCTGAATGCATGCTGTCTCCCAGCATCCCTTTAAAAATGCCATCTTTAATTTGTCACTAAAAGATCTGATAGTTTAGTCTTCAGTTGAAGGTTTTTTAACATGTGGTTAGAATACAGGTAATCAAATGACTCTCTTTAAAGACTTAAACTTTTGGATCTTTTATCAGGTCCTCTTTACAAATGTTTAAGCATTCATTTAATGGTAGCCATTTGGGATTGCTCTTAAAATTTTGTTTCTTGTAAACATCTTAAACTATGTGAATAGTCTCTAACCAAGCCTGAGAAATTTAAGTCATTCTTACTGTCCTTTTTTGTGTGGTGCAAGCTACTTTGCTTTCAAACTTTCTGACATGGTATTCTGTTCCTAGAAATGCTTTTTTTTTTTTTTTTTTTTTTTTTTTTAAACTAATCTTTAATTTGGGAATAAACTGAGGAGACAATCCCTCGAATAACCTGCCAAGTCCCTTTAATCTCTGTCTGCTTTTCCATAAGGAAAAGCTGAAGGTAACTATTGCCTTGTTATCTCAGTGTGCTATAGTGTTCCATACTGAACCTGTCTAGTTTGTTTGAGGAGGCTATTAACACTAGTTTTATTAATATAGGTATACTATTTAACTAGCTATTGCAGTTACAAAAGGCAAGCTAGTAAATGTGTCTGTTGTTCCTACTCCTCTTGTCAGATTTCAGATATGAAATCTTGTAATGTCCATGGGATTTACAGTCTGTAAGAAAACAGCTTTCTTACGAAGCTATAAATGCACCTACAGTTGCAAGCAAAGCACAAACCATAGCAATAGGTTGTCTCTAGTATACAGACTCTGATAAGAAACAAGATAAAAATCTGATTGCTGTCCAGTCCTTTCCTCAACCTCTTCATTCCCCATCCCTAGACAAACATAGCAAGGGAATATTACCATAGATTAGTGCTTGTATCTCAGGTGTGGAGTTCAAGCATTTAAAGTTACTACTTGCACTCTGTGTTCCTATGTAGCACAAAAGAAAAGCTTTATACGCCAAACATGCTTGTTTAAAAAGTGAACTTTTATCTGGAAAGGAAGACTATATACAGTGCTACCTTTTTTGGCTGTGCACAGAAATCAGGTTGCAAGTTTTTTAGGTATATTTTTCCCCATTCTGAGGAGGTGATGGGGAATAAAAAGTAAGTCCTTGGGCTCTGACAGGGCCTTACCTCTATAAAGTAATTATAGGAGACTTGATAACAAGCTGTATTCTTTGCCTGAGAAATCTAGACAGTTTGAGAATGCCTTTTGAACACCCTTTTCTTCCATAAAATTAGGTAATAAAGCGGAAAATATTCTCCTTGCAACTTTTTAATATACAGGAGCTACTGACCAGGTTTAATCTTAAATTTTAAAGGCCTACATGTATTTACGTTATTATAAGTATGACCTTTACATTTTTTCTCATTCATGTGACATTACTAATAAATCAGTATAACTTCTAAAACTGTCATCTTTTGCAGACATGACTTTCTTGGGTAGGAAATTTGTCTTTATGGCTTTTGTACTTTAAGAAATGTTTTGCTGTACTGTACTTAAATATAAAGTACTAATCAAGGTTGCTTTTGACACTGCTCTGAATGGGGGCCCTCAACAATTTCAATAATTCAGTTAAAGCTATTTCTGTCTTTTACTGTAAGGTAAAGTATTCTGTTCTTTTCTGGTAAATTAAAAGTATGAAACCTGGTTGTCAGACTTTAATTTCCTCTCCACTGAAATGAGAATTGGATCAAAGCTATTTCATTGAGTAAATGATTTTTCTTAATTCTTTCTGGACTATTGCACTTCTTGAAACACTTCGATATGTAGTGATGCAACAAAAAACATGTTAAATAAAACCTCTGAAGTCTAAGCATTTTTAAAGACCAGCTATTTAGAAGCATCTTCAAGATACTCAATAAAACCCAGTCCTTTAAAGAAGCTGTTAGGCATGTCCAGGGAAGCTGGAACTTGCATGCATATTCCTTGAGGTGCATGCTGACAGTCTCTCACCCAGTTAAAACTTCTTTTTTCCCCTCTGATTTCAGTACTCATCTGAGAAGTTGAACAAAAGTGGCAGCTTGTTCCCTTTCGAAATCAACGGTAAGTTCTTCAGAAACCTTAGGCACATTTTACGGAGGTAATTGGTATAGCAAGCAGCCTTTCTTTTGTAAATAAGGTGAGGGGGATGGACATGCTGTTGCAGGGCCTGCTGGTTTAAGCTGGTCTTTGAACAATACTGGGAATAGCTGGTTGTTAGTTTTGTACTTGTGATCTGCTTTGCATAGCAAAAGGCCTTGTAATGTTTTTTTTTGTTAGATTTTTCGGCTGTGGTGTACAGATGCACAGTGATTGCTGTTTTTATGCTAAACATCCTTTTGCTAACGTCTCCTAGCAGACAACTCTAACCTCTTTAAACACCTTTTTCATGCTTTGCCAAATAGAATATGCTGCATGATGCAAATCCTAAATTGAAGTCTAGTGTTTTGACACAAGTCTATAAGCTTTTTTCTCTGTTCTCTTACAATGAAAGTAAATTCTATTTGGCAAAGTAAGAATGCCACTCACTGATGTGTAGAGAGGTTTTTGTACTATTTTATTACTGGATGTATTTAAAACTTTCCTTAAAGATGCAACAAAGTATGCATAGTAGAATATTTGTTCAATAGGATTCATCTTAATGTGAATCCTGCTTTGTAAGGTTCACAAAGATACCTTGTTTTAATACCGTTTTTGATAATATACACTTGCATAAACTCGGGTATTTTTTATGTAAGTTTGAAACTCATTCTGCCAACATCAGAGAAAACTTAATTTTTAAAAATTCACATAAAGTCAGCCCAAGCAATCTGTTCTGCCAGTAGGTAAGAAGTTTCAGACAGTGTCTAGATCCTATTGTGTTGGTTATTTTACTTGCACTGAATTATGGATGGTCCCTGCCTTGAAGAGCTTACATGCTTAAGGCAAAGCACAGTATGTGGTTGTACCCATCTGAAAGAATGGAGGAGGACGGACAGAGGAATTCTAATAAAACATGTTGTTTGAATAGGCCAGCTGTCTGCACAGTTAAATGATTTTTGAGACAATAGGGTGTTCTTTAAGATCCAAATAAACAGGATAATCCATGACATACTTTGCTGGCCATGGAGCATGTACAACTATTTGGGTTCGACTTTTGAAGCTACTCGGCAAATGTGTAACTTGTTGATTGTTCTCAAACTCCTACGCAGATGCTAGAAAGTGTAAGAAAGTATTCGCATAAGAAAGTATTATAGCATATTCTAGGTTCTTAAGATATACTTAGGAAGAAATTGTTTCAAATCTTTCCCTTAAGGCTAAGATAGCTGAAACTTATTTGGCTAATTGGTTAAAATTAGCAAATTTCTGCTAACCAAGCATGAAGCACTGCTAGCTGGCCAGTAGTTGTGTTGCTTTTCAACTTGCAAATTCAAAGTCTGTTGTAGTTCCTCTTACATTTTATTGTATACTGTGGAGGAACCGCTGTAAAATGTGCAAAATGTTCTCAAAGCAAAGCTTTACAAAGACCGAGAGGCTTGGCTGGCAGGCTTTTTTATCTAGTATTGCCACTTCACATAACTTGTGCACTGTGGGCTGTGTTTGAATTCAGTTACCCTTAAGATCCTCCAACATGGTTTATTCACTTTATTTTGCACTCTGAATTAGGATTTTTCAGTTTGTGGGTATGAGCAAACATGGAAACAATCACCAGTCTGAAATAACTCTTAAATTGCTTCTAATTTAAAGCTTTGCAGACTGTAGAATGTGAATACCTTTAAAACTTCAGTTTCTCTAGTAAGGTGTTCTGAATAAACATGATAGTCAAAAGGACAGCAGTCTATAAGCAGAGTACTTTGCTCATGTATTTAAATCTACGTTCTTACAATACTCGTTAATCCACTTTAGTTGTACCTCCGGCTGTTCAACGCTACAGGTTTTAATCATGATATATGGTGTTCCCTAGAGAAGCAGGTACAGACGCCGTTCCTACCGCTCACTCAGAAAACAGTGCTATAATCTTTTAATACGTAGGAAAAAGTATTCAGAAAGTGCTGAAATATATCCTAGAACACCTGGACTGGCTCCTGAAATACTTTAGTCCTCACGTTTTTAGAAGTCTCTCTTTCCTTTAACAAATTTGTGGTTATGCTTCAAAACTTTGATTAAGAGCTGGGTGTTCATGGCTAACACCTCTAAACTTTTTTGACTTATGCTTAAACTTTAAAGTAGGTTGAAAAGAAACTGTCTTTCTCTCTGCTGTCTTTCATCACTGTTTCTTCTTTTTTAGAAGACAGTCCTTGGAAAGCTTTAAATGGGGGTTGCCCGCTCCAGACGGATGCGACAAGGAGCTCCGCGTACCCGTTCCCAGTGTGCCCCTTCAGCACAGGCCCCGCCAGCAATGGCAGCCGGCAGTGGCAGGGGGACAGCTTCCGCACGTTTTTTTTCCCCCGTGTCAAAGAGACGGTGCAATAGCGGCGGCAGCGCCACCCTGCAGCGCTGCAACAGTCACGGCAGCGCCACCTTACAGAGAAGCACAAGCATCAGCCTGCCACAAAACGTACTCTCCTTAAATAACGTCTTCACCATCACCAGCTTCAACACGTCACCAGTACCCAGGCCTTCCTCGGCGAGCAGCGGCTTTGTGGACAGTAGCGAGGGAAGCACAAGTTCGAGCACCCGCTGGAATTCCGGAGGGCCTTGTGACTTTAACCCAAGGCGTCGCCTCTCCCTCTCCCAGGAGCACATCACGGAGACGGGAAATCTCTTGCCTTCAGCCAACAGCACTCCCACCTCCACACCCGAGCTCAGCCGGCGTCAAGGCTTGCTGAGATGCCGCTCGCAGCCTTGTGTTCTCAACGAGAAGAAAAGTCGGCTAAAGCGCAGACGGGAGGAGGATGTACGATGGAACAGGCCATCGTTAGACTTTTTTAAAATGACACGGGTGAGATTTTATTTTCCTCAGTGTGCGAAAGGAGCTATTGCTGAGAGGTGGCTTTTAGATAAAGTGCATTAATTGGTAGTTGTTGCAGCTTTGCTTGAGTTCTAATACTGGCATCTGTATCTTCAGCAGTACAGCAGGGCTTCTCGTACTTGTCAAAGCAGTGCTCTACAGCAACTTATTTACAGCCCGATTTGTAAAGTACAGGCTACTTGATAAAGTACAGAGAGCTGTGAAAAGATGCTTTAAGCAGAGGCCAGGAAAAGGCTTGTTGTTAAAATGCAGTATTCCACGGAGAAGGGAGCAGATTGAGTAGCAAAGAAAAGTTAATGCTAGTGAGTTAACTAGGAACAAGGTGCAGCAGTGTCTTTTAAAGTTACTGCAGTTCAAATCTAGTTAATTTGTGTTTGCACTTTGCATGTAGTAGTCCATATCTCCCTTTTTAAATCTCTGGTTATCAATGGGGGTAACTTGGCTGTGGTTTAAAACTGAAGCTGCTTGTTTGATTCTCAAGTGAAACTGTGAACACTGAATTTGTGAGACTGTGATCCCTGTTCTTCTACTGCCCTCCCTACTTTCAGTAGGTACCAGACTTGGGGGTTGTGTGGGTAGTTCCCTAAATATTGCTATACTGTAGTGGGAAGGAGACGGTTTGCAGAAGCAGCAGTAAAAAGAAGTGAAAGATAAAGTTACTTAGCGGTGTCTGCCCATTTGATGTGTTGTACAGAAGAAAAGCTGAAGGGAGTGGGACGAAAACGTCTTATCTTGGGGACCAGGTTGCTGTTGGCTTATACATGGGGATGTAGGGGAGAAAAATAGAGTGAAATATTGAACTGAGTTGTCTATGTACAGATAGTCACTGAGATGGCTTGATTACTTCTACTTTGCTTGTTTCTTGTGTGACTTTCTAAGACAATCTGCCTAGAACTTAAAGCTTAAGGGATTCCCTTCATTAGAGGCTTCATTTTGAAAGAACTATAGGGTAGGTAATTAGGTGACAAGCTATACATAATGATTTGCTTACTGACAGATTGGTAACAGATTTTTGTTTTGGATGTGACTGGATGCTGTTCTGGGTGTTGCTTTAAAATGTCCATTCATTAGCCAGTTAATCAGATCTTACCTGTTTTTCCATGTTAATCACTGCTAAGATTAGCTTGATAAATCTCCTCCACAAATATCCGTGGATTTGCCTTTCAACTGCTCGTGTTCTAATGCATGTTTCTTTAAACTGAATGTACAACTTGAAAGCTTCTGCTGTCCTGGCTAGGTTTGCTGCTTGTGTTCTCAAAGCTTTAACGATAGAGTATTTTAGACTCAGACTTTTTTCAGCTCAGCTTAGACCTAAATAAACCATTAAGTAGTGTGCCTGGAGAAGAATAGAGCGAGCTTTGTGTCTATGGACAAGTTTTTTAGATTTTCAGATTTTCTACTGCATTAAACAGCACATAAGACTATATTTGAGCATTGTTAATCACTTTTTGCTGCGAGACCTATTTTGAAAACCATTTTCAAGGCAGGCAGAGTAGTTCATGCATTAAAGCTCATTCAACACTGTCAAGGCCTGATGGGGCTGTTTCCAGCTCTGCCATTAGCATCTTCAGAGGAAGATGCTAACATGCCTTTAATCAAAGGCACAAAGTATGATTTGGAAATGCGCTATCTTTGAAGGAAACTTAACTATAATGAAAATATAGCTGATAAATATTTACCTACAATATTGCCTGGCTTTTAAGTAAAAGCTGAATCAAGTTTTCAAGAAATGCTGGCAGATGGGGAGGTTTTGTTTCAAGTGGCACTCTACTGACCTGTCATGTTCTGTTGGACGTTTTTCTCTAGCCTATCTTCTCCTTACGTATTTGCCAGAACTGGAGGTGTATGCTTTGAGACTTAAAACATTGTGGTCTGAAATTTATTTTTCTAGGAGTATGCTTCCTGAAAATTATTGCTGTGCAAAATATTATGAGCTAATACTACAGAAGACTTGTTTTGAAGTGTCACACCACGAGATGTAGATGTGTCCTATATCTGCATAGCTTGCTGAAGATCAGGATTACGATAAGGGGAAGTGCAGTGAGACCTCCCTTTCATGTGTTTTGAAGGCTCCTTATTGTTTCTAAAAATAAATCTCCTGTGATTTAAAATTCACTTCTAAGTCAGTTTGAAAGGCCTATGTGAAAACAAATGCTTAAGTCTAAGGATATCTGTTGGAAGCTTACTGCAAATGTTTTATGTGCTCAAGTGTTCCTAAAAGTTTTGGAACTTGAAGTATGTGCCTGAGAACAGGCTGGTAATTAGATAAAGAGCACTGGTGGATAACTTAAGTCATAGCTGACCCGTGTTGCAGTAGATTTGAAGGAAGGGGAGAGTTTTTGCTTCACCTGGCAGTGTTGCATCCGAGCCACAGCTGCACAAGAGGAGGTGGTCTTCGGTTCAGTCCCCTTGTAGCATTTTCCCCCAGCAGGCTGGAATTTTGAGAAGTCTGCACTGAAACACTGGTGAAAGTTGTGATTGTCTCAAATGGGTATTTACCAAAACTGACTGATTTTAGTCTGAAGCAAGCGCTATTGCGTGTGAATACGTTTCTTGAGTAGCTGTGTGTTCAAGGGAAACTTAAAGGAAACTTAAAACTTTTGAGTTAGATATCTGACCTTTTTTGACAGCTGTTCTCCCCTCTGGGTTGATGCTATTTACGCTTCTTGTTCGCTACTGATGTGCTAAATGAATGCTAGAAAATGTGTAAGTCTAATTCTGAAAGTCAGGCTCCCATTGTTAATATTTTCAAGTATAAATAAAATCCATAGGAAAATAATTTCAGATAATGAATCTGAATTCCTGTATTGTCTCTTTAATATTAGCTTTTTGTCAGTCTTTAAAACAAAAGAACCAATATATTCCTTTGGTTAGAACAGTTTCTGTTTATATACCTTGATTTTTCCTTTCCCAAGCACCCCTTTCCTCTGTTATAGATTATCTGCCTTCTCAGGAAAGAATATGCCCATGTCTTAAATTTACAGAAACATTTGCATCAATTTTAAATAAAACAAGTAATTCATACATGTAGAAACAGATTGATGTGATCAGGCAGACTGCTAAATACTGTTGCTTGGCTCTAACATAGTGTTAAGTTTTGGAAGGATCTTTTTCGGGACTTCAAGCTGAAAATACACACTTACGCAACATCCGCCTTTCCAGAACATGAAGACAGCTGTAGAAACAAGTGGAAAAGATTACAGTAAGTGATAACAAAATGTGATAGCTCTCTTCAGGCCCTAAGGACTAGAAATGGCATTCTCGGCTCAGTTATGTGTGCTAGCATAGCTGTGTGGGTAGAATAACTGCAAACAATATCTGGGCCTAGAGAGTGCTTGCTCACAAGCTTCTGAGCAAGAAGCTGGCTCTGGTGGGGAATATCTGTGCTCTTTAAATGAGCCAGTGCCTGATCACCCTGGCACTTAAAAGTGTGTGTGTGTGGCAAAGGAGATGCTCCTTACTCTCTGGTCCTGCAGCTTGTAAGCTCTCTTCCAGAAGGTTGAGAATAAGCATAGGTGGCATTTAGACCACTAACTGAAGGAGGAGGATATAAACCCTTCTTTGAAAAGTTCTTCCACCCCAGAAAATGAGTTCCTGGGGGTGGGTGGTTTTGCTTGGAGGCTTTGGAGGGGGAGTTGGTCTGTGTGTGTCTTCTGTTTCATGCAGAATTACGTCAGTCCAGCCTTTTGGCAGAAACAAAAATAGGTGCAACTAGTGAAGAGCAGCTGCCTGGTTCTTCAGTGCGTAAGCAAGTTTAATTGCCAAGGTGTGAGTCTATTCAATGTTCCAGATCAAGCTGTCCTTCAGAGCTGGACTAGCAATATGCTGTAGTCAGAAGTCTTGCTGCTCTTTAACACCTCCCCCTGCAAAGCCTTCTGGCATAAAACTGCCAAAGAAATCTTGGTGTCATACTTTAAAAGAAGCTTCTGTTAACATGTTGTCCAAGGTGATCTTAAGTCTGTTTAAGCAGTTAATGCAAAAGAGCTGCTTTTATCAAAGGAATAGTTTGAGATACCCAGTGATAGGCATCGTGTGGAGCACGGTGCTTCCTCTGGCATACTGGGCTTGCCCCTGGGCTGGGGTGTTTTGGGGACTCCGAAGAGCATCAGTAGCTCAGGCTCTCCTAACTACTGATGAATCTACAGTCTGACTAATCTGTTTTTAACCTTTTGTATTTTGGATCTCCACAATGCTCCATGACAATTCCATAATGTCTGTAGTCTGTTCATATGCTGCTCCTGCTCATTCTAGTTTAGCAGGAGTGTCTTTAAGGTCCTGAATTGGCAAAGTTTTCCTTCTGCTGCTTAATGGGGTGTTGAAGTTAATAGTCTCTGCTTTACCTTTACTGACCCTGCGCTTCAAGCCACACAGTTAGATGGTGGCTTTGTGGATCTCCTTGGCAAGGAAGGCTCCTTATAGAAAATGGCTTCAGAGATGTCAAGTCTTGAACACCGCCAAAGCAACAAGAGTAGCATCACTAATGGAACAGTATGAAGATTAGGAGTGCTAATCAGGAGTGCTGTGACTGAGCTTAGATCACAGAAGATGACTTTCTTGCTGAATCTTTGCATCAACTTCACTTTAACTGTGTGCGACTGGGTTACAGAAGTTAATGTGAATAGGTATTGGGGTGAAGTGTCATGCTAATTTTATTTAACTATCTAAGCAAAAGTACCAACATACTAATGTCAGCCTCTTGAAGACTATTATGTCACTGCTATAGATAGCTCAAACATGAGTATAGAAAATATACATGCGAATAGTACAGTAAAATAACTGCTGCTTTTCCTAGCTGGTCTCACTTACATTGGACTCTCTGCAAGACAGCTGTTTCAGCATGTGCTAAATAAAAATCTCAATGAATTCCTTACAATGTTAGCAGGGGTACTCCGAGTCAAGCCTGGATTGGCCGAAGTAGGTTAAGTATTGGCTTATGAAGTTCATTTGGATTGTGGTCTCTAAATAGTAAG